CTCACTCTGTCTTGAGGGTTTAGGGTTATAGGATGCCCTGGAATCATGGTGCTAGTCATGGGAAGAGAAAATGGAAGCTACTATGGGATGATAGTTTTAGTCTTTTACAGTCTAAGCCCTGAACCTTCTACCATAAACGCCCAAGAAGCTTGAGCTTGCGTTTAACAGGCTTAAAGAAGTTTAGGGTGCATGACATGTGGGGATTCGGTTTTAGGTTATGGCATCTAGGAGGCCGGGATTGGACGGTGCAGGTTAGTGTGTAGAGCCGTGAGATGTTGGTTTAGGGTTTAGGGTGTAAGGATTGAGATTTTGGATACGGTATTAGAGTTTAGAGTCTTGGGGCTTCTTTAATTGAAATGGGGGGCTTGAGTTGTATCATGCTATAGTTACAATAGAAGTATGGAGGAATATTCTCGGTAGTTCATTAGGCTTCTTTTCTATTTTTCAAAAGTCCCGAAAAGGAGTCTAAACCCCAAACCCTGAACACTACATAAAAGGTCCGTTAAGAAAGTTCCAGGAGCAAAATTCTGGCATACAATTTGGGAGGTCAGCTCTGAGGGAGTCCATACAGGGCTACGGGTACTATGCCCTAAACCCCTACATCCTAAACCCTAAGCCCTAAGCCGCTAAAGCCCTAAATCCTAAACCTTCGAACTGTCAGGTTGCAGGATGCAGTAATTTCAGATGTCAGTCTAGGGTTTAGGGTTTAGGGTTCAGGTTTAGGGTTCAGGGTTTAGGGCTTAGGGTTTAGGGTTTAGGGTCCTCAAAGTACCGGCCCGTGGGGCTCTAGTGAAATGGAACTTGATAAGCGGATCATAGGCATCCTTGTTTAGGATTAATATGGGGGGCTTCCTAAAAATTAGGGGTACCTTCTTGGGGTTCCTAGAATAAGGATTATAGTATTTTGGTGTCTATCTTAGGGTCCCCCTATTTTGGGAAGCTACCATATACAGGAATCATAGTGAGGAACTTGTTCCATCCTTTGCGATGGCTCTCTTGAATACAGTTGACTGATTGGGCTTCTCGTTGGGAGGGCTGCTCAGGGTATGGTTCAGGGTCCATTGCTGTCAGGGTTAAGGCTTAAGGGGCGTGGTTTTGGGGTCGCGATCCAGAAGGGCATCTGCTCAACTCGCACTTGGCAGGCACATTCTCTCATACTCAGAGAAACGGAAGCTAATGGCTGATGATCACTGCAGCCCAGACAGCAAGACACACATGGGAGGGTTGTTTCCCTCAGCCAAACTCCTAAAAGTAGAGCCCTATTCTACGGTTACCAAGAATATATTTCTGTCAGCGAGAAGTCTCACAGGACTAAAGATGGCCAACGCGTGCCCCTGTGCAGGCAGACGTACTCCTATCCGGTGGAGTACTGCAGCCGCTTCTCGAGGCAGGGAGCTCGATCAGATACCTTGGGTATCTAACTATATAAACAATACCAGTTTTTTTTTGCCTATTGTCCACAAAGCCATAAGTAAATAGATAATACCTTCTTGACACCCTAACGTTTATGAATGGTATCTACTTTGGGCTATATTGATGGGCTATATTGATGCCTAGGGATACCTGTATCCGAAAGGGGGTCTTGATTTCGGGTCGACACGGTTCCCCGGCTTGGGTTTTCGGATTTTGGTTCCAAATTTGGGGCTCATTGATTAGGGCAGGGCTATGTCCTTCCCACGAAAGGCATGCGGATCACCACACCGCAAGCAGAAGGTTCAGTTTAAGAGCAATGACAATGTCAGGCAGGGCCTTTGTTTTTGAGTCTAGATTCAGCTTGCTGTCACTTGCTGAGCAAAGACTTGATGTCGATTTGGAGCAGCCGTGGATGTAATGCTAACGACCCTAAAGTCGGGCAACAAGGCTCTGGTAAACCCCAAGGCTGGTTCCGAATCCTAAACTCCTAAATATCCACAATTCCCCTACACGAAGGGTCTGCGAACCACCGGACTTGTCTTTGCAATGTCTCAGAGTCATTCGGGTTTATTACTTCGTTTCATTGAGGCCTACTTCTTAACAACTTACAAAACTAGACTGTTGGCCTTCATTAATTGTTGTAAGATCCACCAGGAAACACCACTTGAGATTGAGAAGCCCTCTGGTAGCTTGTGTTCGGAAAGCCATGCGCGCATGCTTCCGATGTGGCACTGATGCGAGTGTCGGAGAGGTTGCAATATGGAACAGCCGGAGGTGGCTCTGGGTATGGGACGCATCCAGTTTGTGGTTTGATAGATCGAACGAATGGCTTAAACTGCCTCGAATGATATGGAACCAGCCCGTGTTTTCGAAGATTGATGCATCCGGCATTTATTGCAGGAGCTGCTGGGAGGAGTGGGGGCAGCATGTCAAAGAAGGCACCTATGCGTTGAGCGGCTCCACCGAGAAGTTAGCCGTACAAGCTGGCATCCAGTGGGTCAACCCCTCAGAAGCATCCCCGCAAGGCAACCCCTTTTACTGTCCACCCTGCGGAAGGTTCTTTAATCATGATGTGCATTCCTTGGACAAACATTTGCGGGATTCACACCCCGAATCCGCTCAACATCCCGCTCGCAAGAGAAAGCACGAGGAGACTCTGGCGAGCGTTGACCAGGGGGTACCGACACTTCATGATTCAGACCGCAGCTTTATCCAGAGGGTTCCAGACAGGACCGATGGCAACCGGCCCGCCAGGCGTAATCCCTTTGATTTGGAAATCCAAAGCTTTGATGCCGCAGATTCTTGTGACACCTCTGACTTCCAGGATGAGGACGTGGTTTGGCAGTTTGATGCCAGCCGACACGGGGAGAGCGAGAACTGGCAGCCAATGACAAGGGGCATGAACGACGCGCTTGAGAAACGCTGGGACATGGGATGGGATGCAAACCCTGCTTTGAGTGATATCTTCTATGTCGATGGGAACGGCTGTTCCTACCTGGTCGATAGCCATTGCATGATCCAGCAAAATCTCACAACCGGCTGTGCACGAAGCATCAGAAGGATTACGGGCGTTTTAGACGCGGCAAAACTGGTGGCCACAGCTGCTCGAGTAGAACAACTCCTGCAGGACTGGGTTCCGCAGTAAAGCCTTTTTTCAGTTGGGGATCCTGGGTTGCTTGTATTACTTATATTACTTGTATATATGCATATACGCTTATGGGTTCAACTAATTGGCACTGGAGCGAGCCCTTTTTTCGCTGGATAACAGAATTTATGGAGGCCGCTGATTGTTTTTGGAATCCTTAAGCTCTGCATAACCTTACATCCCTACATGTCCTATCTAATGCCGATATACCCAAAGGAGAAAGCACAACTGAGTGCCAAAGTGGCCGAGCTTGAGCGACTCGATGGCAAACTGTGGTTCATGGTTAGGGGTTTAGGGTGGGTTTATTCAGAACGTGCTTTGTTTTTTCTATGTCAAAGAATGAAACTGAACAGAAAAAAGGGAACCAGAAGAGGCAGAACGTTTTTGTTTTGCTTTGTCTTACCTATTTTCAAACCTTTTTTACGTTCAGTTTGCGGAATTTCTTCATGTATACCTTTGTCTCACCTTGTGTTTACCTTTTCCACCTTCTATTCACCTGTTTTCTTCCGGAAATTCCACGAATTCGATGGCCCTGAGCTACCTTGTTTTACCTTCTGCATGCTCGCGTTTTTTGCACGCCTGGCTTCCAAAGTTATTATTGTTGTTTCACCTTTTTCCATCTTTTCCAGGTTCCGTGTTTCCGCCTTTCTGTTCGTGCGCCACTGTTGTTCTACCTTTTCTGGTTACCTTGGTTCTACCTTTCTTGTTCTACTTGTTACTAAACATTTTCGCACATTCATAGAATTAGAAAGTACTACCATTACTAAATCACAAGGGTGGACGATTTCAGAATTCGTTGCCGCACATGCTGCCTGCTATGTCATCCTGTAGCAGCTATTCTTGGGGAGAGTAGTGGACATGCATGGGCATGCCATTTGAGACTCCACCTGTAGGGTGTCAGATTTAGGAGTTAGGGTTATGCTGCTCACTGCTTGCCCTATCCTGACGAAGCCTCTGTTTTGCCCGCTTGGGACAAAACCAGTCAATCTGATTAGGATATTGTTGAGTGCTTACACCGGCCACAAGCAAGTTAGTGAAGCCTCTTGGCTATTCCATGACGGCACAGTGGAGAACATCGAACAGGGTCAGCAAGCTTGACACATATTCGCCCAAAAGCGGGGCCACAAAGTCCGCGTGTAGTTCCGTATTGGGGCACATCCTGGAGACGCTTGCGAGCCTAACATCGAGAGCTCATTGTGGCTTTGGTAACTGTGTCGAGGTATTTAAGGGACTTGGTGAGGGTATATAAAGGGGGTGTCCTTTATTGGGGGTAAGAGTGGATGAGACATGCACAGCCTACTCTGCACGAGACGACCCCCTGCTATGGCCTGCATATGGATCCAGCATTCTTGCTTCATCCTTCACACACTTGAGATTCTAATATGGGTGCTGGCGCCCACAAAAACTCCTTGCACCCGCAATGTACATACCGAAGCTGCAGATTGCCTGCTACGTAAGCGCTGGACGCAAAAACTAGCTACTACACAAGCTACCATACTGAGGCTGCTCAGTAAACTACAGAAAACATCCGATGTGGTTTCAGACATGTTTCTTGCTAACTCAAATTGTACAACAGACATCAGACTACAAACAAGGATCAGGATGCTGCAGCTGTTTGAGTTGATTTGCAAACTCCGAGGCGTGCAAAGAGCGTTTTGGAAGCTTCGCAGACAGACCATGCTACACAGATGATGTCGCAAGAAGCCTGGCGAGTGGGCCGCCAGCTGCACCCCAAGAGCTGCATCCAGCTGAATCACGGGGATGCAGTTTTCTCCAGCATCCAAAACGCCTTACTGGAGGCCTGGCCTTCGGATCACCATGGGGAGTGCATGCGCTGGAGTCAGTTCAGCATTATTGGCCTACAGCAGGTTTGCAACACAAGAATCTGGAAGGACTACGAGTTTCGGAAGGATCAGGTGCGCAAAGAGTTGGAAGGTCGCGAAGACGTCCCCAGGGTGAGCAGCATGCTGTCACCTGAAGTTTGCAAGTGGGCGCAACTGGATGCAAAGATCAACGAAGTGCTGGTCATTCACGGCACCACATCAGACAAGACGGGGCAAATTGCAAGCTTTGGATTTGACGAGCGCATGGCACATTACAGAGGACTGTATGGCCAAGGAGTTTACTTTACAGATCAGAGCTGCAAGGCTCTGCAGTACTCTGGCGCAGTAAACAAATCCTCTGGCGCAGTAAACAAATCGCAAGGCCCAGGGAAAGGCTACTTCATCATTGCTCGCGTGATTCTTGGGCACGCAAAAATGGCTACTGGGCCTTTGAAGAACAGCAAAGTGGAACCTCTTGTGGACCCGGCCGATCCTTCCAAGGGCCGCTTCCATTCCGTCATCGCAAAGCCGGGGATTCCCACTGGCATCTGGCAGCGTCGACAAGTGCATCGGGAATTTGTCCTGTTTAATGGTGCGCAGGCCTATCCAGAAATGGTTGTTCACTTCAAGGTCTCTTAGTCTCATGTGCGTGGCAGTTTGTAGAGTTCGCAGTTTGAAATCACAGAAAGCATCACTTGACAGCTTCTCTGTGGTCTTTTCCGAATCTTTACAGTTAACCTTCGCGGCGACCCGCTCTTGGCAAGAAAACGTCAGGATGCCTTTGGAGGTGAACCTATAGCATACTATGTAACATGTCAATGGCTGCGATCCATCACTGAGCGGGCAGTGATTCTTTGTGGGTTTCTTTGTGTAATCCTTAAGGGGTGACGCCCCATCACCTTTTGATCTCATGTTCCAGAGTCTCTGAAGGGTGGATATGTCCTTTTGTGAGGCACGGGTGCTTCAGAATTGGGATGGGTTTCAGCAGCTTCCACTTAGAAGCCTCATTAGAAGACTATTGCAGTATAGAGGATTACAGTACACGGTATTGAGCAGTTCCCCGTTTTCCAAGCCTCAAAGCCGCCGGAGTTGTAGATGGTAGGCTGTCCGAAGCTAGAGGCCGGGGTTTGCAAAGTTTGCATACGGTATAGTTGCAGAGTTTACTGGTGCTGGTTTGGTGTAGAAGCCTGAGTGACTAACAATACCATTTCCCCGCAACCTTTACATAGCGATAGCATGATGTACCCGGAAACCTTGTTCAACTTAACTAAGCCTCTACGTTATGATCCTCATACGAAGCGCTTGGGCCGAGACTCAGGCGGCTGAGATTTAGAGGCTTCTGGCTTGTGCTGGAGATATGGAGGCGTCCAAAAACGTGGCCTGTTTTGGGGTCCCTGTTATCAGCATTACAGTATATTGACGTCTATATTGGGCGCCATTTTCTAGTTGAGAGATTGTAAAAATGGGGACAGGATCCGACCCACAGCTCCACGATCCTAGCAGAGGTTTGTAAAAGGGTTCTATCATACATTCCCCAGCAAGGAGCCTCATCATCCCCATGTATCCCAGGGTCTCTGAGCGTAGTTGATTTTCAGAAGCCCTCATCTAGTGAAAGTTTTGCTTCAGTAACTTATAGCGATTCACCTTAAACACCTGACGGAGTGCTGTCAGTTCCGCGGCGTTTCGAGATTTCCCTGTGAGTGGATCAGTCTTGGTCTTAGGAACCCTTAGTAACACCGCTGGCCATGAAACCCTTCGTAGGTAAAATGGTGGCACAAAACCCATACTAACTGAAAGTCAAAAGGACCATTGTTCTGTATAGTTTTGTGTCCAGGTAGAATTTAAACCACTACACGCAAACCGTGCAACCATGTATGCAAATCCCTCATACGTCGAAGGCTGGTGGAAGACAAGATCATGTTCACATCCAGACGCGAAGGCTGCAGCGTGTTGAGACGTTAGGTCACCCATAATAAGCGAACAGATATGCCAGGTTGTGTGAGTTGATTGTTTCGGATAAGGCTTCGGATACCCATTGAAAAGGGGGCATAATTTGGACAACCCCCCTCCCCATGAAAATGTGTAGTGCCTTGCTGCGGTTGTTGGTGCTGGAAATTGTGGCTGGCCTCACCGTCCGACACCCTAAGCCTCAACTCCCAAACCTGAACTCCCCAAGCCGTCAGCCCTCGACTTTCCTGAACTTCGTGTGTGCATGTTTGTGCTGGTATGTATACAAATCCACGAACACATTTACAGTTGTTATACCTACAAGACATAGTAAGACATGTATATGCGCCCTCCGAAGCCCTACATCCAAACCCTAAACCCTAAACCCTAAACCTCTGATCCTTGAGGCAACGTCCACGCCGCAGCAATGGTTTTCAAGTTGAGGCTGCAGTGCTCCTGTGTGTTACACGTGATTTGGGGTTGAGGCTGGGTATGGGCCCCCTACGTGAGCCATAGTCTAAACACCTTAAAGGGGGGTTGTATAGGGGATTATATAGGGGACTACTATAGGGGTTATTAAGGGGGATACTAGGAGTTTAGATTATGGCTCATGTAATAGTTATATCAGGATCCTTACGGTGTAGTTTTATCATTGCAATTACTATGCTGTGGGAGTGTTATAGGGTGGGCCGCATCCAGTTTAGGCTTTGGGTTGAGGCTTTCGCGTTTACTTGTCTAGGGCTTGAGCGTTGTGGGCCGGGTTTGAATGGTTCAGGGTTTATACGGTCCATGTTCGCATGCAAGCCAAGAGGCTAGAGACGACTAGCAGGCGGCCAAGGCCCAAGAATCCTGGTTTGGTGCGAACACCTATCGTTGTGGAGGTTCACCTGACCCATCTGGCAAGATGTGTTCAGCTGGTAAGCTCGTGGTGAGGGCAGTGCTTGGGGGTGTAGGCGTACGAATGTGGAGGCCTTGGAGGAAAATGATACTTTCGTGGCATGCCCGCAAGCCATTCTTGGTATCCCCTAATTACCGTTCCTTCTACATCAAGAGGACTGCGCAGGGGTGCGTCTTGCATGGCTCTGCCGCTCAGAAAGACAGACCTCGTGAGGAGTCGATGCACTGGCCGGAAGCCACGCAAGACCATCAACGTCTCTTGGATGCTTTTTGAGGTGAATTGTTTAGCGCAAGGAGCCCTGCAGCCCAGTATGCGACATTTCCTATTGTAGCCAAAGTATGTTCGAGCCATGTGAAATCTGAAGCGGAGGGGAGGGGGTTCTTCGCAATGAAGCAGGACATCTTACTTAGTTCAAAACCCCCTACAAACACCCTAAACGCCTATGCAGTCCCTACATAGGCCCCTACAGAACTCTTTTGAAAGGACACCCACAATTTGGGCTTCCCCAAAATTAGGGGTACCTTCTTGGGGTCGCTATAATAAGGAATATAGTTGTAGTACTTGGGGGTCTATGTTGGTGTCCCCTTACTCAGGGAAATTACCCCGGAACCCTAAACCTACCAGTCATGTCTGTCTGTCTTGAGGAAGTCAGAGCAGGGGCTGGGCTGGGCTTCGTTGGGTTTAGGGATCCGGCTTTCTCAAAAGGGGGACCCTTAAGGACTCAGGGCAGATACAGGGAATATATGTATTTATATATCTACATGTATAATCATGCATAGAGATAGGAATGTGGGGGCGTTCTCTTAAGAAGTATATAAGGACTGTACTCAGCACCTCCCATTTGAGTAAGGCTGTGCCACAAGTCTGTTCGATAGAGTTTGATGCACCGTGCGAGGGCTTCAGAATAAGTCTCAGCATTCGGAGGCCTTTGCCTAGAATGATGCATTCAGTTCTGATCTTACGGCCCGCACCATAGCTGTGACCCAGGTCTCCGCCGTGCTGTACGAGGTTGGCACGGCGCTTCCCCCAGCCCCAGAAGATGCGTTCACAAAAGATGCGAACATGTGTTACATGCGGTTGTAGCCTGTAGTTGTTCTCTAGTCGAAGTATACTGCAATGTATCTACTTAGGATGAGACTGATTCGAGGAGTTGGGAGAGACCGCTGCCGTGCAAATGCACAGCTGGACCATGATTTCAGCGCTGGTTGGTCTGTTTCAGAATAATGGAAAAGAAAATGGAAGCCACAGGGGTTATAAGGATTATATACGGTTTATATAGGGATTTTTGGAGCAGTGATAGGAAGATGGGATAAATTTGGCACGTGTGCGACATGGGCTGAGGTCGATGTGGACTTGGAAAATCCCTTCTCCGAGGCCACAGGGCGGTTTGAGAAAAAACATAGCCCCTTTTCCGGGGGGCGTCCTCATAGAAGCATTACGGCATTTCGTTGCTATATCTGTGGGGCCCTTGGTTTATGGGAACCACCATGTAGTACAGCACATGCAGCCTCTAAACCTGCGGGGCATTCAGGGACATGTAATGCTAAAGTCGAAACAACAACCAAAATCATGATCCCACATTCCCTGTGTAATTCTGGTATAGGCTACATCATATAGACCCCAACATAATAGTGGTAAATGTTCAGGATAATCCCTTGCAACCCCTATGTAAACCTGGTTTTCATCCCAGTTTTCACGCATGTTTGCATGCTTTTTCTTCACTATTGAAGCACTTTTCTAAGCCTCTACAGTAGTGGGTTTACCAGCGGATTATGACAGGTTTCGGGTTTAGGGCTAGTCACTTCCGCCTAAAGTGCCCCCCCACCCCTTCATGTAAATGTTACTGCAAGTGGGTGGTTGTCAAAATTACGGTCCCCTTTTTGGGTCCCGATCATAATACGGCACCTAATATCTAGGGTACCCAAGAAGGGACCGTAATTTGGACAACCACCCATATGTATAGTGGTACCATCTCTGGGGAGTTGTTGTTAGCGGGATGCGGTTTAGGGCCTAGGGTTCAGGGGTTGGGGATTTATTCCCAGAGGGAGGGGATTGAGCAGGCAACCGCTGCAGCTATTGCCAGGTCATGGCCTATAGGGTGTAGGGATTGGGGTTTAGTAGGGTGGCTATGCTACGTACACGAATGTGCGCGGAATCGGCTTGCTCATTCTGCTTCTCATTTTGCGGATTTTTTTTCATTGAAGCTTGAATCCCATCTGTATGCAAGCAGGGCTTCGTGACTGGGGATGGCGGTGTCTCGCAACTATTTCCGGTCTGTCACAACAATCTTATACGAGCCCAAAGGGTCCGTCAAAGCCAGACGCCCCAGCATAGTGACTAAACAGGTTGAGGCCCTCAAGGAGGATACTCCAGAATCTGGGATCCGAAGGGGCCCCCCATTTTGAGAACCCCCACATGTTTAGGATCCCGAAGGCAGCCCTGTACACGGAACTCTATAAACCCTAAACCTTATTGCTAAGAAGCCTTGGAAGCAATTTCAAAATCAGATCCCAGCGCCATGGCTTATGTGAGGACTGCTATGAACGTATATGTAGGTGTTTTCCAAAATTAGGGGCACCATTTTGGGGGGTCCCAATAATAAGGATTATAGTATGTCGGGGTATGTACTCTCTTGCTTCTCCTTAATCAACCTTGAATAAGGCTAAAATCAGCCTAGCTACGCGGGAACCTCGCGCAAGAGTAGTGGGGAAACAAATAGCTCTCGCAGGATGCCGAGTTCACAGTTGCCCTGCGTGAGAGCACAGTCTGCGACGCGGAGAAGAACCCGGCACGGAGCCCAGGGGAAGGAGACCATAGGAATATATTACTGTATGGAGAACTAATGAGACATGTAAGGATGCATTGGGGTTTGAAGTTTGGGGATGTCTTTTGTTTGTTTGGTGGTTGGATGTGACGTTTCCTTGCGACTAATTACCTCAGTTGGATGGGATTCCTGTTGCCAGTGCTGCGGCTACAACTCTATGCTTTTGGCACTGCTTTAGGATTTTCAGGAGGATCGCCTCCACCCATGCAAACAACTCCAACTCCAAGCGGGTAACAGTGGGCGTCGGGCCCCTTCTCGGTTCCCTATGATATAGATATCCCTTCAACCAGCGCAAGTTTCCCTATCCGAGGTACCTTCCAAACGCTGCGAAGGCATGGAAGCTTTTTACTTGAGCCCCTCGGCCATGCAGAGAACTTTGTGGCTTGTAAGAAGTACATCTGGGGGTATTCTTTGTACAAGTCAGTTGGGGGCTTGTGGAGCCCAGCTCATAACTGGTATTTATACATTTATAAACACGAACCAGAAAGTAGTTGAAGGAGTTGGAAGGTTCAGGCTTCGGGTTGGAAAGTCATGGATTTAGGCTTTGGTGAGGCTGTCTGCTGAAGTGGAGTATTGTTTAGGGCTACTAGTAGGTCCAGACGATTTTTTGCAGGAGAGTCGACATATGGTACTTTCCCTTGCTTGCAACTTTTGGCCACGTCGGTTTATACGGAGCAACACAATTTGTTGTAGTTGCCATAGTTGCATGGACAACATGGAATCCTGAGGCACCATGAAGAAGGCAAACTCTCCATGCAGCTTAAACAGGGCGAGAATACATGTGTCTCATACAACAGCGCTTAGGCGCTTGCAAGATGGCGCTGAGACTTCTTGTTTGAAAGCAGTTGCGGTCTCTTCCGATCCTGCCTGAACGGCAAGAACTGCCTCGCAGAGACATGTTTTCTACAGGTGTGCCCTGAATTCCGAAAAAGCTCTCTGTGGGAACTGTCACTTCCAGAAAGTGGCAGTTGCGTTGCCAGCCGTGTGGGGGCCCTCCCACCAGCTCAAGGTGTTTGCTTGAATGTACCAAGGCTCGTCATCCTAGTTGTTGCCCCACTCATGCAACTGTAGGGAACCCTGATTCATTTCATATTTTCTACAACCCTGCACATACAAAGCATCCTAAACCCTAGATTTCTGGGATAGAAGTCCCTAAACCCCAAACCCTATAGGGGCGTAGATAAGCCATTACAATTTCTACATGATCTAGGCCCCTACACTACCTTCATGCCAAAGGCTCCACGCGCTGCCGCGTGAAGGCTGGGGCGACTGGCAAGTTGACGGTATCCTTCTTGCCCTTCGAGGCCTGGGGAGAGTACATAGGTGTACTGGGTCCTTGTTGTTTCGTGTGCCGAACCCAATGGCCCTGTGCCAAAACCACTGTGCCCTGCGGAACGGCTCATTTGTAAGTTTACAAGCATCGCTGTTGAAGGGCATACATTTGATACAAA